CAAACTGCGTAGCTTTGCCGCCGATCGCGACGCCTGGAAGGAATCCACGGAGCTTGTCATCATGGGCCTCACCCGCGGCCACAAACGCCCCCGCGCGACTACAGAAGAACAAGATGCGCCCCCGCGCCGCCGCCTGCGCAGCCACGGCCCGGTGAACGAATGAAGAAGAAGGAGATTGCTAGTCTCTACGTATGCGAACTCTTTGCAAGAACGAAGATAACGCGAAACACGTTCATATATCTATACGTGTCTATACAATAACGTGCGTCGCCTGCGCTATGGTCAAGGCGGGCTCGTCCTCGACGAGCTCGGACGACTGGCAAAAGCGCTCCACTTGACAGCACAGCGTGAGCGCGCCAAGTGTGATGCTCACGACGAAGAGAAAGATACGCAGCAGCTGCACCGCGTGGAAGAGGTCGGCCGGGCACCCAAGCACGGGGTGCGACACGAGCGTCGAGCCAAAGATAGCCCAGCCGAGGGCCGTGACGGACAAGAGGAGGAGGCAGCCGACAACGACGCGCTGCGAGGACGATGCGTGCTGCTTGCGCGAGACGACGTAGCACGTGCACAGGAGCAGCGTCAGCGTCCCAAAGAGCGCGCTCGAAACGCCCACGTAGAGCGCAAATGGCTTGGAGCACGGCGCATGGCCGTACGCGGCGAGGAGCGCGACGCTGGTGGCGGTGAGCGCGACAAAGGGGAGGACGACACAGCCGCGTTTGACGAGCGACGAGACGCAAGAGCAGCGAAGACAGCTCAGTAGCCATTGCTATGCCACCATCCGATAAGTCCACACAATCGGAAGGTGACTACCTCGCGGTGGTGGGATGGCACCAGTGTGCGCAGCGAGTACGACACGAGGAGGCCGCTAACGGGCAGTCCGACAAAGATGAAGACGGCGGACGTCGCCATGGCCATGGTAAACAGCAGCGGCTCGGTCTCGGGGCATCCCTTGCGCGAGCTCCAGATGGCGCCAAGGACGCCCCAAATGACGCAGCCGACACTAAGGAGCGCGACAACGACAAGCAGTGGCAAGCCACGCCGCGTCGTCTGCGCCAGGAGGATGACAATGACCCATACTGCGTAGAGACAGCCGCTGGAGAAGACGTACACAACTGTCTCGCGCGGGCACATGCGCGACGCAATCGCACCTTGCTCAAAGAGGTCGCTGGCGCCGGTTCGGTCGAGGGCTTGGGCGCTCGTGGATAAGAGGAAGCAAAAGACTGCGCAGGCGCAGAGGCTGCTCACGACGAGAGCACCAAGTGCGATCTGCATTCGGCTGCTGTGTCGCCGAGCGCGCTTGGGTAGCTCCATGTCCCCACGCATGCCCATGGCTCCAGCACGATCGGATCTTGCGAAAGTGCAACCTGCCCTGTTGTTCGGCTTCTTATTTCTGAAAATAGTGCTACCATCAGGTAGGTGCACTGCACGCCCGGTGTACGCGATACAAACTAGTGCGGGGTAGCTACCGCACTAGACGGTAGTAGCTTTTGCATGATCCAGCACCGGTCGTCCGACGCGAAGCAGCCGCCCGCTTGCCTGCTGCATTGTCTTGTTCCGGCATGCCACATATATAGTGTTCCACCAGGTCGTCGGAACTATAGGAATATGTCACCGAGTGCATTACTAAATACTGTGAGATCACACTACTTCGGTGGATCTCGCACCTTGCCATTCCCACAGCATTCCCTGCCGCGACATGCCAGATGGACGAGCCCGTGCGTGAGTCGTTTCATGACCACGGTGACCTCTCGGCGCGGCTCTCGCAGCACAACTTCCGCACGCCGGCGCCCGAGAGCTGCTGCGACGTCGTCCTGCGCGTCGACGGCGTTCGCTTCTACGCGCACCGCTTCCTCCTCGCCGCGTCGTCCAAGCCGCTGCGCATCATGCTGACGGGCTCGATGCGCGAGGCGAAAGAGATGGAGGTGACGATCCACGACATCAAGAGCTACATCATGGAACAGCTCCTCGAGTTCATCTACACGGGCGACGTCGAGCTGAGCACGGAGACCGTCGTGCAGACGATGACGGCGGCCGAGGTATACGAGCTGGCCGCGTTACGGGACGTGTGCAAGCACTTTGCGCTGCGCCACGCCAAGCACGTCTTCAAGGCGCAGATGATTGAGGTGCTGCCGGAAAAGTTGCTGTGCGACCTCGTCGCCCACGACGACTTGGCGGTAGTACAAAAAAACCATGCACGACTCGTTGGTTGATGGCGGTATGGACGTATAGATACGCGAAGCCGACCTCCTCGACGCCGTGCTCGCGTGGGCCGAAGCGCGCTACGACAGCGTGGCCGAGGACGTCGAAGACACGACTGCCCACGGCGCCGGTATCCAGCTCATCTTGCAGGACGTGTGGCCGCTGATTCGGTTTCCGACGATGAGCGTGCGTATGCTGTACGGTACGGTGCGGCCGCTCGTGCGCGACCACTTCATTCCCGAGTACTTGCTCACGGAAGCGCTCTTCTTCCACCTCAATTGGGGCGCGGCGCAGTCGCCCGACCACCAGAAGCGCATGACTCCACGCACGTGTTCGGCGGCCACGGTATACCATACCTCGTTCTTCTTCATGCCTCTGAGAAGCTGAATGTAGCGCAAGCGCAAGCGGGTCTCGTTCATTCAAACCGTCTCGTTCGACACGCCGCCCGAGCGAGGCGCCGACGAGCCGTTGCCGTAATCCTAGCAGACCAGTAATAGGACGCTCTTGCGTCTCTGCTTTCTCGTCACCACTGCGTGCATCAACGTGACGCGACCACGCTTGTCGCTGCAGTCGCGCATGTCGCGTGCGCTTTCCGCCGCCGTCGTAGTGTACCAGGTAGACTGAAATCTAATGACGTGAATATATTGACATAATGGTGGTTAGTATAAATAGTAAAACAGAGTTGTAGTGGAGATGGACCAGACGGGAGGACACTTAGCAGACGACAGACGTGGACGATGGGAGCGGCGAGCTCGCGTAGAAGGGTTCCTGGAGCAGGTCCTCCATATTGTCGAGCATCGCGTCGAGCGGGTCCACGGCTGCGGGCGTCGTCGGCGCGACGGTCGTCGGTTGGTTGCCAGCAACGACCGCGGCGTCAATGACCATGAGCTCGTCCGGGAGACATTCGCCGTCGGCGAGGTTGATCTTGGCGCACGCCAAGAGCACGCGGCACTTTTCCTTCTGGTCCTCGATCTGCTGCTTCAAGTCGCGGTTCTGGTGCTCGCTGAGCTGGCGCTCGGTCTTGAAGACGGCAGCAATGTCCATCCACGAGAGGCTCGAGCGCTTAAAGTACGCGAGCTCGCGCGCGTGGCGCTCGAGCGACTGAATCTCGCTGCTGAGCATTTGGAGCTCGGCCTGGTGGTGGCAGCGCTTGAGGCGGAATCGCTCGCGGTTGTACACCTGCTTCTTGAGGCGCGCCCGCGCCTTCTTGACCTCGTCAGGGATAAACGCCTTGTGCGTGCCGTCGTAGGCCGAGAGTAGAGAGACGAGTTGGCGACTGCTGCACATGGCGAGTGAAATTGGAAAGTGCCAATTGAGAGATAATGCAAGATCGAGGATCTCCTCGAGATCATCCAAGCATGCTGCTGTTACGCCCGGCGACATGCATATTCATGTCGTCAAAAAGTTAAATTGCCCGTCGGTATCCGGACATTTGGCGTGAGATACCCCGCTTCTTTATTTCAACATTGTTCTCGATACAATTATCAAGAGAATCGACAGGGACGTTCAGCGCCCGATCAGCTCGCGTCGGTTTATCCGGATTGTGTGCGGGACTTTCGGGTGGGACAAACCAAGGGGTTAATGACCTCCTGTCGCAGCCTCGTTCAGCGCGACGGGACGATGGGCAGCGCGACATCCTCCTCAATCTTTTGGGTTCACTAACCACCGCGAACCCCGAACTGTGTGGACCAGACGTCTAACTACCAGCAGGCCGTCGCTGGATCGATAGCGCTGACACATTTCACACTTGCCGCAGGAGTCCCCTCAAGCAAGGGTCAATAAACAGTTTATTGACCCTTGCCGAGAGGAGGTAGGCTCGACCTTGCTGACGCAGGGCGGTACGTCGAGGTGTGCACGGCCCAGCATGGCAGGTATCAAGGAGCTCGCCAATTGGCATGGCTCGACGAGAGCACCATGAACAACGATGCTCGACCGAAAATGACGGAGCTACCGACTCGGGGAGTACACGTCCACTTGGCCGATGGCATGACGGTAGGTGAGAGCTATCGCTGTGTGGCTAGCCGCAATGGTGGACGATGGGCAAGCGCCGGGGGTCGATCGAGACTGCGACAGTCGGCGCTGCGATCTTCGGCCCGACGACATTGGTGGTGAGTAACTTGAGCATGGCGTTCGTGGACCATTGTTCGTGGACCTCAATGCGAAGACCGCTGGGACACCCCGTGATGCGAGAGGTCAACATGTCGCTCGTGTCGCCGGCGGTCTGCGAAATGTCAAAAAGATCACGCGCGACATGTGCGCTACCTCCGAGACTTGATACCGGAAGCTCAGAGGATGCAGAGAATTCAGCCACGCCACTGCGGAGATCGCTTCAAGATACCGCGGACGAGGCTTGAATGCTCCGACAAGACACGGGGTTGAGCGCCAGCTCGACAAGACCACGTGGGTCAGCGACGACGACAACCACCGAGAGGACGTAGCCGCGGGGCATGCCATGGTGAGAGCGTGGCGCCGAGAGAGCGTCGGGCTGGGAGCAGCTAGACGTGCCTTGGCCTCGAGGCGGGCATGGAGCGTGGCGCGCGATCGTCGATGCGACGAGCTTGGCAGGTCCCGTCAAGCGGTCGAGTCGTTGCGGCGTCGTCGCAGGTTGAGCGATCCGGGATCTTCTTGCGCAGTCGGCTTGGAGACAATAAGGACGCAAAGTCGCGGCGTCGTGGTTGCAGGCGGCGATGTCGGCGTCGGTGTCGGCGGCTACAGGCGGATGGGTCGGCGGGATGGTCATTGGGTTCGTAGTGCGGCGGCGGCGCGCAGGTCCGTCGCAAGTTGCAAACGACCGAATGAAGACTAACTCTGGGCGTGAAAACATTTCCGAGATGGCTCTGCCATGGGACATCATCTTGTCTGCAGGTGGTGTCGCAACATGTCCCGCCTGTCTCGAGAACCTGTGCTTCTTAATACGCGACATGCCAACCAGCCGAGTAGTGTTTCTGGGAGGTTTTGAGCGCCACATCTAGTTGCCACAAATACCACATCTACTACCCACGTGGGGCAGCCGTAAGATAGGATGACGGAGCCCAAGGCGGTCTTGGACCGAAGCAGCTTCCAGCGCATGTCAGCCGACATGGAAGCGTACGATGAGAAGCGCGAGGTCGTCATCAAGCATTCTCGAGACATCCTCAAGTCGAGCAAGCAGGCGATCTTCGCCATGCACCGCAGCAACATGGACGAGGCGAGCGAGAAGCTCGAGGTCGCCGACCAAGTGATCCAGCAGCTCGCGCCCTTGATCATGGAAGAACCGACGCTGCGTCACGGATCGTTCTCGAGCGCCATGGAAGAGTATGCGGAGGCGCAGTGCTTTCGCCACTTTCTCACGGCGGGCACGCTCGTGGCCCTCGAGGAGCTCAACTTTGTTGACCGCGACGAGTACTTGGGCGGCGTCGTCGACTTTACGGGCGAGGTCACGCGCTACGCTGTCGTGCAGGCAACGAAGCGCGACGTCGCCCGCGTCGAAGCGTGCCGCAACATTGTCGATGCCATCTCGGGCGAGGTAACCCATCCTGCCAGCATCATCCTGCGATGACGAAGCGATGGTGTCTAGCTGATTCAATTTAGCTTCCGCAACTCGCCGCTGCGCAAGAAGTACGACAGCCTCAAGTACAACCTCAAGAAGCTCGAACATACGCTGTACGAGCTGTCGCTCGTGGGGCCGCTCCGGGCGTTCAACCTCTCGGCGGGCGACGACGAGCCTCACGGCGAGAACGAAAGCTCGCACAGCTAATGCACTTTGAACCGACAAGCAGCAATGGATCTATTCGTGCATGTCATCGTCATCTTCTTCGTCCTCGTCGTCGTCTTCGTCGTCTTCCGCGTCAAAGAGCATGAGGCGTCGGTCGGCTATGGATAGGACGCCAAGCACACCGCGTACGCCGTTGCCAACGACCGCATCAAAGATGGCTGTCGAGAGCGCTCGCTGCTTTCGAAATGTCGTCACCTCGTGCGCCTACCCTCGTGTGTTGTGCTGGCTCGTCCTACATACTCGTACATACCTCGAGTGTCTCCAACGCGCTGGTCGTCCACGCCACATCGGTCGTCCATGGCGGAGCAAATGCAACCGACGCGAGCGCCACCAGCGACAGCCGCTCTACATCGTCAAGGTAGTCGCGCCATGCGCAAAGTCACTTATGATAAACGTACGCTCCGAGCCAGACGCGTGAAGAAGAGCGAGCTGGCTCTGCCCGTCGCGCGAGTAGAGGCACTGGTCAATCTACCGAGCTTCGTGAGGCGGCGTACAGCTGCTGTGAGCAACACGTACGAGTCGATCTGCGGACGGTAGTCGAAGCACTGCCATGTGCCAACGCCCTTGGACGCAGCGCCCGAGCCCGATCGCGCCGTTGAGCGGAAACACAAGGAGCGGCGCTGACGCGAGCGTCCCCATTTCAAAGCTGCTCGACGACGCAGTGACGAGCACTGGCGACGCAGGTGGACCCGACGGATGGCCCAAGCCGTTTTCGCCCAAAAGCTGCGTGTGCCACGTCGCTTCGATCGCAGCGCAGAGCGCGACGAGGCTGTGCGACGCGTATTCTTCCTCGCCGTCGAGGGCAAAGGACGCAGACGTGTCGAGGCGTTGGCTTGCCTTCCACGGACACTTGCCGAGCATCTGCCGAGAACCATGTAAAATTATTATAGCGAGACAAGAGTACCTCGGCGACGGGGTTTCCAAACGTCGTTTCCACCTCAAAACCATCGGCTGGATCGTGATGGCTTCGCGTGCTGTTGCAGTGCCCGCGGAAGGCCATGGCGGTGGTCGTGGCGCGCAACAAGAAACGACCGAGGCGCTTCGTATCGGGCAGCGAGAGCTTCGTCGCGGCCTTGGGGCGCGCCGTGCCGTGGGCCGCCATGATCGTGCCAAACCACCGAAAGAGCAGTGCGTAGTCCAGCTCCGTCTCCCGCAGCGCAATCTGTAGCTGCTCGAGCTTGAGCAATAGCACTTCAACCATAGCAACCATGGCCGAGAGGTGCACTACAGACGCTGGACGCTACCGTGCACATGGTGAGAGCTCCATCTCAGTGGATCAATACTAGTACGTGGGACGGCGCCGTGGACGTCAAGCCCCGGAGCTCGCAGAGGCGGAAGAGCACGTTGGAGGCGGCGACGCGGAGCTGCTCGTGGATCTAGGACGAGTGTATGGGCAACGGCGCGTGGCAAGCAGTGTCCCACCAGAGTCTGCATCGAGTGACAGGCGTGGAAGAAGGCTTTTTGACTGCGCTGCAGGCTCTAGTACCAGCCAATCGCACGTCATTGCCAAAGGACGCGAGCGTCGCACCTGCTCTTGCATGTCTTGGGCGAAGAAGTTGGTCAGCGCCGGAAAGCCAAGGCCCGCGCAGAGCAGTGCATACATGTGCGCCTATGCGAGTGTTTCAAGGGCCCTCGGGGCACTCATGGGTATTACCTGAGGTACTTCAAACGACGAGTACTTTGCGTACGCAGACGACAGCAGCCGCATCTTTGCCTCCAAGACCCGCGTTCCGTTGGTCCACTGCGTACATTGAGCAACACGCAACGACGACGTATGGACGAGGTTACCTCGGTTGTGAGCTGCTTCAAGGTCGTGTCGAGTGTGTGCAGCAGCTTTTGGACCTCGCGCACGTGGTGGGAGACGACAAAGAGCTGGCCTTGGTGCGCCGATAGGTCGGACAGCGCGAGCGACAGGATCTGATGTCTCGAGTCTTCTTGTGAGCCGATGAGCAGCGCCGACAAGTCGGGCAGAAGGTGCAGCTCGGTCACATGCTGGACGCCGGCTGGCTGCAGTCGGCGAATGCACACCGAGCCAAGTGCCCAGAAGAGAATCGTGCCGCTGGTATCGCCCGAGACGAGGATGTGGCGGCTGTCGTCGAGCGCCGGAACCTTTGTGAACTTGGCGGCTGTCTCGGTCGAGGACTCGCTCGGCGGGTTCATGACGCAACGCGACGTTCGATCTTCATACCGGTGGGTCGATGGCGCTGCGCCCGCCCTGCTTGGCATGAGCCTACTATATACCATGGTTGGACGTACGTACGCAGCCCAGTCGAGAGCGGAAATGGCTTGTGTGTGCTCCCATGCGTGCACTTTGCCGAAAAGCTGCATCGTCGCCTCGCCCGTCTCCATGTCGTAGAGCACGATCTTGCCGTTTGCATGACCCACAGCCAGCACGAGCCCTAGCGCCATCTTCGCGTGCGACTCATGCAAGCTTACATACCATCGGGTCGCCATGCGAGGACGGTCATGGGCGCGTCAACGTCCGAGGGCGTCACGTGCAGCAGTCGCTGCCAGGCCACCGTGCGCTACGCAAAGAACCCATGGCCTCGTGACCACACGGAGATGCATAACGTACGTAGACAAGAAGCTGATCGTCTGTCGTAAGGACGGCGACGATGTCCATGGTCGGGCAGCACGCGACCGTGGCCGCGCCCAAGCTCCGCTCCTGGAGCACCGCGTAGGCGTGGCTCATCGACCTCTTTTTAAATATGACTAGAACTTGCTTTTTGTATGTCTATTTTATTCAAATGAAATCCTGTTTTGCCACAGGATTTTAGGCTCTGTTTTGGAAACAGCAGCCAGCAAGATTCTGTCTCAAACCAGCGTCTTAAACCGCACATAGTACAGAGTATGGAAATTACAGTGTCAGTACATCTCACCACGGAGAAGCAGCTTGGGGACGTGCTCGACACGACCACCTTCATGAGGACAGTCGTGCGGGAAGACGAGGAGCCGACCGCGCTTGGGCTGGACGGGCGCCAGAACTGCGCGGTCCGGCGCGAGCGACGAGAGCAAGTTAGTCTCACCGCCCGACGCGCACGTCGAGAGGTAGATGATGAACGTCTTGGTCGACGTGACGCCATGGGCGTCCGTGCGCGAGAGGTCCGTGTGCGCCGGGAGGTACCCGCCGACGTCGCTGTAGTAGAGGAAGCGCATGTTGGGAAAGACGTCGCGGCCACAGCGCGCTTGGATTTCACGGATGACCCAGCCGACGCTGTCGCAGTAGTACGACCGGTCCGAGCACGACGCCTTCTCCTTGGGCGCAAACGGCAGCACCGTGTGGAGCTGCTCGAGGCGCTGGAGGAACGACTCGGGAAAAATATCGTCCCAGTACCCGCTGCCAGCACCAGGGTGGTCCGCGTCGGCTGGAATGAGCTCGACAAACACGGGCGAGCGACTGGATGCGATTTGGAGCGACGCCATCGCGTCCAAGGGACTGTCCACAGAGGAAGTATGCAAGGGCGCGAGAAGCCGAACAATGCTAGTGTGCGTCTTGGCCATTGCAACGTCAAGCGGCGATGTTTGGGCGTTGTCGCATCGCGTGGGTGACGCGCCGGCGCCCAAGAGGTAGGCGACGACACGCTCGTACCCGAGCCACGCAGCGAGGAAGAGCGGTGTCTGGCCGTACTCGTTTTGGCAGTCAATCTCGACACCGGCAGCGATAAGAGCCCGAAGACGACTACAGTTGGTCGCAAGGACAGCCTTGAACATGTTGGCATCCCGCTGCGATCGCGCCGTGCCAACAAAGAGCTCGACGGCGTTGTGAAGCGGAAGCGGCTTGACAAGCTTGCTTGCTTTGGTGCCGCCACTGCTTTTGCTCGGCTCCAACGGCAGCTGCAAGTAGAGGGCCCTCGAGGCCGCCGCAATATCTTCTGGAGCCGTCGTCGTCGACAGCGGCGATGGTGCAGTCGTGGGCGACGAAGCGCGGGGACACTGGACGAGCACGTCGCACGTCGGACACGTCAGATCTTGATCGACACGCATCGTTGCTAGGTGCGTCCAGAAGCAGAGTTCGCACACCGCATGGCTGCACGGCGCCAGCTCCATGGACGGCACGGCGGCCGCGCAGACGCCGCAGACCGAGGCAGACCGCGGCTGCGTGGACAAGAGGAGGAGAAGCCACGCCATGTACGGAGGCGGGTACTGCATCAAGCACGCCCGCGCCGTTGGAAACGTTGCGATCGAGCCAGCGCGGTCGTGGAACGAGGGGTCTGCGCCAGCGTAGAAGAGCGCGAGCGCAATGTTGGGCGAGTGGTGCGCGGCGTACCGGAGGAGCGGAAGGTCGCCAGCGTACGTCGTGCAGTAGACATCCAAGTTGTACTTGGCGAGCTTGACGACGCCAAACTCTACGCAGAAGTGTTCAGTCGTGGTACGCGCGGCGGCACCGTACGGGCGATGCTCTTGCTGCGCGCATGCTCGGCGTAGGCCGCGATGGCCTCGGGCGAGAGTGTCGCCTTGTCCACGATGAGCCCGTTCTTGACGTGGTAGAAGGTCTTTTGCCGCTCGTTGCGGCGGTTGCTCCAGCGACTCGCGCCCTTCTTGCCACCACCAGCCTCGGTCATGGCCCAAACAGTGTCTATGTTACGTGGCGACGACGCTGGCCATTGGCTGGCGCGCTTTTGGCCAGTTTTGAATTTTCACTGTATTTTTCACTGGATTTCCCACGTGTCGGGTCGTGCGTCCTTGCGAGGTTGACAACGCGGCGACCTGCCCAAAGCTAGACGATCGCACCAGCACCAGACGACGAACCATACCCTTGCGGTCGCCAATATATGCTATGCAAAATGCTTTGGAGCCGAAGACGACTGGAGAAGGATACTTAGCTTACTACCTGTCGTCCGACTGCCTTTTCTTCTCGTTGCTTACAGCCTTGATGGGAAGAAGTTACCAGTGTGTGGCCGTGTTCGCCAACCTGACGGTGGCGCTGGGCGCACGGTACCTTCCACAGAGCGCTTCTATACTGTATCCATATTGACTCGTACTACATATATATCCTCGCCTTGAAAAGAAGCCGCTTGTAGACGTAGTAGTCCTGGTCGCCAACGAGCGCTCGCACGCGACTCGCTGCCGGGGATGACTAACCAGCTATGGTAGGACCAATTGGCCCAGGTTCTAGTTCCAAGATCCATTTCCCACACGATGTCTATTTTACACATATTGGTGATCCCCTTGGGCTCACCATGCCAATCAAGCTCATCATGAGTCGTCGCACTATTCTAGCAATAATAGCACTGCTGTAAGCACCATTGCACCGCCCGACCCTCTTAGCCTAGCGCTTCGTCGAAGCATGGGCAACGCATTGCATCAATGGCACCGTGTCATGCTTGCTGTAAATCCCACATTTCCCACGCAACGTGAGTGCTGATTTTTGTCCCAGCACATGATCCTGGTAGACGGTGGGTGTTGGCCATTTCCGTTTTGGCCGCCGGAGCATGATGTTCCTGCCGGCCTGGCAGGCGCCGTCGATGCTTGTGACGCCCATGGACGTGGTGTCGCCGTCGACCACATCGGACGACTCGCAGCGCAAGAAGGACGACGCGCGCCTCCGCAAGCAAAAGTACAACCGCGACCGGCTGCGCCAAAAACGCACCGAGTATATGGCCGAGTTCCAAGCGCTCGAGGCCCAGATTCGGCAACTCGTCGACCTGCGCGACGAAGCGCAGCGAGAGAAGCAGATTGGCGTCTTGCCCTGGGTCGAAGTCGCGGCTGCGCTCAAGGCCGACAGTAGTCTCTCGCAGATGCAGAACCGCGAGTTGCTCAAGCAGGTGCGGGCCGCAGAAGCGCTCTGCAAGTCGCTGCGCAGTTGGGTCGCGTCGCGCATCGTCCACGTACGGTCTCTTTTCTATGATCGGCGACCTCACGCTAGCACCAGGCGACGCTCAACCCCGAGCACACGTCATGGCGCGAGTCCATGATCCCAGAGGACGACGCGAGCCGGAAGCTCGGTCTCGACTGGATCTCCAAGCGGTTGTACCACAATTTGAACGGGGCCATTGAAGCCAGTGGGCTTCCTGGTCCGATCGACGCGACCGCGTACTATCGCATCGACGTCGAGCGCCACGCCGACACGTACCGCCTCTCCGAGTTCAAGCAGCGCGTCGAGCGGGTCCGGTTTGATATCGCCACGCGCACGCTCAGCGCCCAGTACTTTGAGATTTTCGATGGCGACGAGGTGGGCCCCATTGGCGTTATATTTGATTTCAATCGTGTTGACGCGCGCTTAGGAAGAGCGCCAGAACGACGACATGACGTACATCCGCTATCCCTCGTTGTATGGGCGCACCAACAACGTGCCGTACACGGAAAAGATGCTCGTGCGGCAGTTCAAGGAGCAGCATCGATTTGTTATATTTACGCACGGCGTGCCCGACGACGCCAAATTCCAAGACCCCATCCGGTGCGACTGGTCGGCGTGGTACAGTGTCTGGTTCACATCTCGTCGAGCTAATAAGATGCGAGGTAGGGTCGTCGTCACAGAGCTTGGCGCGAACGAATGTCTCTTGCAATTCGGCTACACGGCGTACGGACTACGAGGCGACGACGGGTACTTGCCGCTCGAGGTCGAGATGCCGGCGCTCGCCGCCTTTTCCGACGACGACGACACACGCTTTGCGCGCTTCCGTCACAAGCAGCGCGACGACCGGCTACGGCGGCAAATGGAGGACGTGGCGGCGTTCCAAGAGCGCTGTCGTCAGACGGAAGCCGCCGGCACCGTAAATAGTCTATAGCACTCTAAGATCTACTAAAAATGGAGAGACTCATGCCATTCAACCTCTGCGATGGAAAAGCATATTTTGGATACACACTGGATATAAGTGCAACTTCATGTCTGGGATATCCCACCAAAAAATGCATTTGGACCGCCGACGTACGTTTTACCTGGCTTCTCGAATCGGATTCGCCAACGCCACGTCCTTTTTGGCGAATCACACGTCGAGAGGCCGGTTGCACGACGCAGCCATGTGCAATACCGCGGACGAGGACGCTCCACCGATCGCATGGACGAGCTCGCCCGAAGAGCGCAAGGAGCGCGCGCGGATCAAGAAGCAAGACTACAACCGCGAGCGGCTGCGACAGAAGCGCTGCGAGCACCTCACGGCCCTCACGGCGCTCACCGCCGAGTTCAAGACGCTCTCGGCCACACTGGCCCGCGCTCGCGCGACAACGTCGACTTCGCTGCTGCCATGGGCCGCCGTGGCGCAAGCGCTCCGTGACGAGCGCGATCTCAAGGAAGCCACGAACGCAGCGCTCAAGCAAGGCGTGCGGCGCTACAAGCTCCTTTGCCGCACGATGCTCCACTGGCTCTCGAGCGCGGAGACCATTCGCGTACACTTCACAATCTACAAACGCGAGCGCACGGTGCTTGTAGGCGTATCCTGCGTCCGAGAAGCGCGCATGGAGCTACAGTACACTTCCTTTGGACAGCGATGCGCGCGCACTCGGCCTCGACTGGATCGCACACCGCCTGTACCATAACCTCGACGGGTACCTCGAACGAAGCGAGCTGCCGACGCCGACAACGGGCGACCGTCCGTACTACCGCCTAAACGTCCGGGCGCACGAGAATTCGTATTCGTTGACCGAGTTCAAACAGTTTGTCGAGTCGGCGCCGCTTCCTGTCGTCGCCCAGTGTCTTTATGACCACTACTTTGAAACTTACGACGGCGACTACGTACGGGCTGCCACGTATGTGTCTACTGAGTCGCGTCGTAGGTCGACATGCGCAGGCCCGACCTCTCGTACGTGCGCTACGTCTGCCTGTACGGCCTTGAGCTGCAGCGGTCGTTTCCAGAGCGCATGCTCACGCGGGTCTTTCGAGAAGAGAATCGATGTATCGTCTTTACCCACGGCGTCTCAGACGACGCCAAGTACTATGACGACCCAATCAAGTCGCACTGGACAGCGTGGTACTTGACTAACTAACTAGTGTCTGGTCTTATCCGTAAGGGGTAGGGTCGTCGCCGAGCGCATGGACGCAACCACGACCGTCATCAAGCACGGCTTTGAGTCGTTTGGTCTCGAGACAAAAGCCGGCTTTCTCGACGTAGCCGACGAAGTGCCGTTTTTGCGCGACGTAGCCAGCGACGACGCGGCGCGGTTCATACAGTTTCAGCTCTACCAGCGCGACTACCGCGGCCGGCGGTTCGTCGACGAGTCCAACCGGTTTGCCAAGCGTCTCGCCAAGTGTCGAGGCAACGGTTAATGGCGTCTCGATTGATATTATCTATGTTACTATCAAGTCTGCACTTGTTGAAGCTTGCCGCGGCGCTCGGCGCGACGTGCCTGCAACTGATTCTCAAAGAACGCCGTCATGAAGCGGTAGCTGCACAGAAAGCTGCGAAAGACTTCGCCTTTGATCTCGATCACCGTCGTGTCAGAGCTGCAGCGCGCGCTCGCTCGGCGCTACGTGCGTTAAATAGACCACAGGGTCCTTTCACACAACGGAGCATACCACGGGATTCGAGTCGGCCGCAACGCCCAGTGGAAAGCAGTCGCCAGTCGTCAAGCGCTCGACGACAATATTATCCATGATGACATCGACGGCACCGTCGGCGATGATGTAGTACGAGTCGCAGACGTCGCCTTGGCGATAGACATAGTCCCCGTCCTTGAACGTCGTGTGCGTGATCGATCCGTGGGCATCTTCAATCGACTGGAGCAAGTGCGCGTGGGCCTGGCCCATTGCACGGTCGGTTAGCGAGGCTTCTAACACCTTGTACACGTTGCTGACGTTGGCCAAGTCTTCCCGAAGCAGCTTGAGCACCTACATAGCAATAAGCATGGATCTGCAACACGGAGAGCGGAACCTTGCAGGTTGGCGAGGCGCATGCGTACGTGGCAACGCGTGGGTGGATGGCGTCGGGCGCGAGGAGCTCCATCACACCAAAGTACTCGCCCGCCTCGAGCGTGCGCAATTGGAGCACTGAGTTGGGTGCCATCGGATTCGCACACCGCGCGTGCACGGTGCCTTCCATGAGCACGTAAAAGTGGTGGTCTTCGTCGCCCTCGGCCGAGATGACGGCGCCATTTTCGTAGACACCGGACCGGAGGCTGCAGATCGCGAGCTTGATGTCATCGTACGTGAGCTGTTTGGGCGCGGGAATCTCGGGGTCGCCGGTAGCTGCCGCCAGCATTTCGCGAATGTCGCTGTCGCTTAGCTGCTTTCTGTTCAGTGTGCCATATTGGGTTGGAATCTGGCGAAAAGAGATGTTGTACCCGAGCTGCGCAGCCACGCGGCGGAGGTCGTCGTCCGAGATGTAGCCTTTCCGGTCCTGGTCAAAGACACTGAGCGTCGAGGCGAGCATCGCAGCCTTCTCAGCCGCCGTCTCGGGGTTGGAGCTCACGCCACGCGCAAAATGGGCAATGTTCGCATCGTCGTTGTCGTCAACATCTCGCTTGTCGTCGTCGTCATCGTCCACTGGTGGCTGCAGCAAGACGGCAAGGATGCTGGCGCGAAGCCGACGCCGTCCGCGCTGAAAACGCTGCAAGTGCGCGGCGGCCTTGTGCAGCGGCTGGGCGCTAATCGACGCATTATGGGGGGATAGCCACGGGTGTCGCAAAGCGTCGTAGGCAGAGAGCCGCTTTGCAGGGTCCACCACCAAGAGCTTTTGGATCAAGTCCTTGGCCTCGGACGAAATACGCCGCCACGCCCGCGTCTGTGTATTGTACTGTCCCTTGACGATGCGCTTGCCAATCTAAGGACCATACATGAGCTGCCAACCTCAGAGCTACTATAGGGTTGTAAGGAGGCGGTGCTACCTCTTGGTCGGAGAGCGTGTTGAACGTGTCGAACGGATGGCTGCCGCAGAGAAGAATGTAGAGCACGATGCCCAGCGCAAACCTACGGAGGCGTCGTTGGAGGCGTGGGAATCCTCCGATCAAGATGACATCCTACATGTCAGCTTCAGGGCCCACCGACTGCTTTGTAAAGGCCTCGGGGGCGCAGTACGCCGGTGTACCCGTGATCGGCACGTCGCTCGACCGCTCGCCCATCCGGAACGAGACGCCAAAGTCGACGAGGCAGAGCTCGTCGCCGCGAAGCTAAAAACACACATACATTTTCAGTTGCTACCACAGCGGTGTCGAACGGACCATGATGTTTTCGGGCTTGATATCGCCGTGGACGATGCCTTTGCGGTGCAGGTAGTGCATCGCCTGGCAAAGGTCGCGCAGCGCATTGCTCGCCTACTCGGGCGCCCCATCGTTCCGTTTCTTCCTGGCCGATTGATGCAACATACCATCTTTTCCGAGTAGGCGCCGTTGGCAACGAGGTGGTCGAAGAGTTCGCCGCCCGTTGCGAGCTCCTGCACAATGTACCACGAGTCGGCCGACTCGTACACGCCGCGCAGTGCCATGATGTTGTTGTGGGCGCCAGCTACCTTGAGCAGGTCGACTTCGGCCCAGAAATCTCTGTTCACATATATACGCATACATGCAATAGAGCAGAATTCGTACTTGGACGACGTCGTTTGCTTGGACATCTCCTTGACGGCGACGACGTCGCCCGAGCGCCGATCGCGCGCCTTGCGGACGACACAGAAACCACCTGCGGTTCGACAGTATTACACCAACCAAACAAACGGGCGCAAGACGACCTTCGCCAATGACGTCGTCCATGATGGCGTAGTCGTCTTGGATTGTGGCGCCAAGCACGTGCTCGTCGGTGCTGACGGCCATGACCGCGCTGGCCGCAGCGCCGAGGGCCGCCACGGCGCGGACCACTCGCTGCCACTGCTCGATCGGCGGCGTCCAAGCAGCTGTCGCCCAATGAACGTGCGCGCCAGGACGCGGTAGCCGGCCGAGACGCTGGACGAGAACGCGTCGGGCTCGCAGCATCACCTCCTGAATGGTCCGCGACTCGAAGTTCAAGTTTCAACCGGAAAACTTCGACGAGGCTAAACGCACGCACCCTTTGGCGCCACCAGGGAACTTGAGGTGCGCGCACTTGCAATCGCGATCCGGACGGTTTTTCTTCTGCCATGCCCCGCCGACGCGGCCCATCGCACCCAGACGTCCTCGCGCTCGCTGCGCGCGCCAGCAGCGGCGCCGACGCACCTCTCAAGGACCAGCTTCTCCGGCGGGTCGCGTCGTCGTCGGTGGTTATGCCCTCGCGGCAACCCTCTCAACGCCATGACGAGAAGCCACACGGACGCAGCAGCAACCACGTGCCCGGGAACCTCGACATCATCGGTGCGGGTGCTACATCCAATGCAATCGGACAGCAATGTGCGTAGACTCGGCGGACAAGCTTCTCGCCTACACGCTGCACGTGATCGACTCGCGTGGACGGGTCGAACCTCGGGCCATTTGCATCCACGGTTGGGACAGCGGTGCATCTGGTATGCTAACCAGCGCTAGAACCGCTGACGCTGCAAGATGCAGTGTTTGCGCCGCGGCGCAAGCCGATTGAAGTGCTGTATCTGACGTACAACCCGCACCCGCCGTGCCACTTTCGCAACGTCTACTGGCTCACGCGGTCGCCCAAGGACGTGGACCTCCGTGACGAGTACTTTACGCTCACGTCGTATGGGCTCACGCGCGTCTTGGGTCTCGAGTCTGGTACGCTGTACTACTGGTAGCGGTGTGCAGATGCTGGTCGTAGAGCTCTTTGACCTCGAAGCGTGGCTGCGGGAGAAGGCCATTTTTGACAAGATTGCGCACATGCAGTGCATTCACCAAATGCGCAAAATGACCGTCTTCCACACGTGGAAGCACAATACGATCGGCCTGCGCATCGCTCAAGCCAAGTACTACAACATCGCTACGGATCCCGTTGCGCTAACGGTGGGTCGGTAGGAAGCAGCTGGGCGACGCGCTCCTCGCGTGCGATCCCATTGCAGGACCGTTTTTGCTCACGGTGCAACGTCTGGTGTTGGACGTACGTTGCTTGCATCATCGTACGCGCAGGCTCGTGGAGAACACTGAACCTGTAGATGATTCACGCGCTCTCAAGCGACCTTGTGCCCCGCGGCAACCCGCAGCCTGTCCAAGCGTTGTCCGAGGTAGCTTCGATGGATTCGACTTGTGCCATGCGCACCATGCGGTAGCATCGCGTGCCGACGGACGCGACATGCGCTCAGATTGCGTCAACCGTCCAGTATATCCAGGGGCTGCTGCTCGACGCTCTCCACCGCCTCCGCGCCGGGCCCAACGCCGATGTCACGACCGTGCGCTTTGGTCGTCTCCTAGCCAACGCCGACGTCCTTCCCGTCTTGATCCGCACCGTGGACCTCATGCTGCTCGGCGCGTACTTTACCGGCATCATGACGGCGCTTGAGCGGCTCAACGTCTCCGTGACCGGCTCGACGCTCTCGGCCCTCGAAGCACGCGGCGCGAGCACGGTCGGCGTTGCGGGCTCGAGTGGCGGGTCCCGCGATCGATACCTGCACATGGACCAGCTCCTCAAGCTGCCAACCGAGCACAGCGGGTCGATCGCATACAAGCGGCTCTTTCACTTGCACGGAGACGCACTTCCGGACCCGCTCTTCTTTGTGGAGATGACCGTGGCCGAGGACGTGATCATCTCGCCACCCAAAGATGTGACGGTGCGGCATTTGTACGAAGCCGTCGCGTTTGCAATCACGCGCGTCGATACCTTTCCGCGGGTCGTCAACGCCGAGCGATCCGGGCCTTCGTGCATGAGCACTGCCGACCTTTCTACCGGCACTGCTTTGGGCAGCACCTCTTGCCAGCGTCGGCGACGCTGCGCAACCATAGCATCGTCGAGCGCATTATGAAGGGGTTGCGGTCGGCCACCGACATTTACTATGTCGAGATGGAGGTAATCGAACACGGTGTATGGTAGCTGATGCGCTGTAGGAGCTTGCGGGCGCGAGCCGGCTGGTGCACATTGAGTTTGGTCGACTCCAAGACCAACTGGCGGTGACGACCCGGGACGACGCCGAGCTAGAGTCCATCGTGCAGAACGCCATGGCCGAGACCGCTACCAGCGACGATCTGGTCGCGTTCGTTGAGGACCTCGAGATGGCATTGCAGTTCCAGGCCGACTTGCGCATGGTCGACAGCTTGCTGCAGATTGGTCCATTCCTCGTGAACCGAAGCGCGTTTATCGGAAGTAGCTTGGACGCGTGCTCGGCGATGCTACGCCGGCTCTTCCGCCTCGCACCCGATCGGTGCAACCGCTACTACCAGACGTCGCATGCAGTGCACGTCGGGCACACCAAGCTGCTCTCGTCCATCCCAGACTCGCTCGCCGAGGTAGATAGCTTCCATGGCACCTTTCTTCATCGAGGCGCTTAGTCGGTCGCATGGCTCGACGCTTTTTTGCTTTTGCGCACCGAATTGCCCGACGACGCCCGAGCCGACGACCATCCTGCCACACGCCTCGAGGCACTCTTGCACGCGAGTGATGCCACGTGCGACGACATTAGCTACGAGACCAAGTGCGACCTTGTGGCACAGACCAAGACAGATCAGGGTACTTAGCAACAACAACATTGATGTAGCTACTGACGATGGGTGTAGTCAAATGGCGCGTCGCCGCAAAGTCACTGCACGAGTCGTATTGAAGCCAACATGTCGTTTTACATGGAGATCCTCACACGCACCATCACCGTGCGCCAAGACGCGCTCTATTCCGAGTTTCAAATGCTCTGGAGGATGCTCGAGATCGAGTGGCGCGCGATCGAAGCCGAAGACGCGGCGACCGACGTCGTCGTTCACGGCTTTTACGGTCGCGCCAAGACCGTGCCTGACCTCATGTCGCAAGCCAAGCGGCTCTTGCACACGGACGCCGAGCTGCGTCGGTTTGTTGGCCTCTTGGAGCACTTTAATCCTCTGCACGCTGGTTTGTGCCAACGCCCCAACAAGGCCGCGAAACAACACAACTGGCTGCAAGGTCTCCTTGTGCTGCACGACAACATCCAGCGCTTGATCGAGCTCAAGACACGCTACGCCAACGAGCCGCTGAGCGCGCTCGACATGGCGGCGCTCGCACACACGATGGAAGCTATCTCGTGGCAGACTTATCCGCTCGCAACGGTGCTCGGGCCGTCGCAGCCGCTGCTCTTGCGATTCCAGCGCCACTTTGCCGCCTTGGAACTTGCCCGCTCGACAGCGGACCATATGCTTGCGTTCAAGCCCGACTCGTGGCTAGCCATCGCGCTGACACCCGACAGTTGTACGCTCAGCCAGCTTGACGAGTGGCTCACGACGCCGGTGAGAAAAGCAGAGCTCGACGCGGTCTGCAGCGAATCGGCCATGCAGCTCTCGGTGCATGCGACGTGGAGGGCCGTGTCAGACCAGCTGCGCCGCCTCACGCTCACTCTGACGCCGATGCACCGACTCATCTTTCTGACCAACGTGCATGACCTCATCGACGCGTGTGAAGACGCGCAGCTCTCGCTGCTGACGATCCAGCACCGCGGCAACTCCGGTCTCGGCGAGCTGCAGACGACACAAGCGTCCTTGGCGCGAGCCCTTGACATCCTCTGCAACTTGGATCGGCTACAAGAGGCGTGGCACGCCACGGGGGTTCTTGTAGACCTTCCTGAGGCGCGCAAGGTGTGTGATGCGACCTTCCACGATGCGCTTCGAACTCTCGATGGGATGAGCACCCAGTGGCGTGACAGGGTCATGGAGCTCTCGCACACGCTGGAGCTGCAGAACCAGGGGCCCGCGTTGGAGAAGCTAGGGGCTGCCTTCGATGGCTTTGACTTTGATGCAAGTATCGCAGCGTGCGATGCCCTTACTGCTGCTATTACCGCAACCTACGATTCGATGCGCTCTGAAGTCCCACGGCTGTGCTTTCTCTCGGACGCCGATCTCTGGGCGCTCGTGACGCGCAAGGCGTCCCCCGACACGGTCCGCGACGTCATAGTGCGCTGCTTCAATGGCGTTGCTGACGTCGATGTCGTCGCCGAGACCGCGACGGTCGACTTGGACGACGCCGTCACGAGCCACTCGTTTACTCGGTGGATGCTCGCAGGGCACGCGGTGACGCTCCTCAAGGCGGTTGTCTTCCTCGACGGCATTCGACTGCAGCTGCCAGAGCCATTTCGAGTCGTCGGTGGTCTCGTCTTCTGGCTTTCGCGCCTTGACACAGACTTGCGCCGCGCGATGTTGACGCTCCTCGGCGAGGCCCAGAGTATCATCACGTACGATGCCTCGATTGCAGCCCTCTGCGAGTGGCTCTCGACCTACTCCTTACCGGTCGCATTGACCTTTCTGCACAAGAGCTTTTGCACTGCGCTGCGTAGCGTCTTGCACTCGAAAAGCTCCGTCGCCGCGACCAAAGTCCAGCTGGCAACCACGGCGTCGACGCACGCAGCGCACTTTTTACGCCTCGTCGCCTCCCTCCGGCACCCGCGGGATCCCAAAACGGTTCTGCGGCTCGAAGCGGTCGTGTTGCTTCTCAAGTACGAACTCGAGACACTTGACACGATGACGCACGTGGCGTCGACGCGCGAGTGGGCCGACGTCGCCCGTGCTTACGACCGCACGTTACGCTTCGAGTCGCCGCGCGCGAACGAGAGCAGCCACTTGGTGGCGGCCATGGGCCACATCACAACGGCATGCGACGTGCACATTGATGTCCACGCGCCACTACTCTTTCTGACGCCACCCACTGCGCGGTGCACCTATGCGCTTTTGCATGTGCTGCAGCTCAACGTCTGCGTGGTGCCCTTCGCCCTGCGCGGGTCTGGAAAGCGCACGCTCTTGCGCAGTCTCGGTAGCTTTCTCATGCGCTACTTTGTCTGTGTCCACGCCACCGAAGCAACCCCGCATCGCGTCCTGAAGCATTGGCTCGCGGGCGTCGACGCGCTCCGTGCGTGGGTGTGCGTCACCGATGTCTTTGCGCTGCCGCTCTCGGTGCTGCGGGCGTTTTTCGCCGACATTCTGCAGCTCCAGCATGCGCGGTTCGGCCAAACGATCCGCTGGCGCCATGACGATGCAAGCGGCGCGCTCTTCCTTCCGGCACACGCGCTCACGCCGCCGACGCACCTCGTGGGACCGTGGCTTGGCCAGCCGCTGCGTCCGCTGGCTGTGGTGTCGCACGACCGCCGCCTCGTGTTGCAGAGTCTCTTGTTCATGAAGGGGTTTTCCGAACCCGTACGTCGTCGTCCGGTTACGACGCTCGTGTTCTCATCTGCAGGTAGATGTACATGGAGCTCGATGGATTCTTGACGACGCTCGCCTTGCTCGAGCCGAACGCACCGCGCTATTTCAGCGTGAGCCTCTATCAGCGCGTGACGACGCTTGCGTCAGCCATCGTGAAATCGGTGCGGTACGTTCTCAAAGCGGCCGGGCATGCAGTGTCGCACCTCACGTACAACCCGTCGCCGCTCAACATTGCGCGCTACAAGGACACGAACGTCCTTCGCTTTGCTCTGCTCCTCGTGCTCTCGCCGCTGGTCGACGCAGGGCATTTGCATTCGGCCTTGGATCGTTTCTTTCCGTCGACGATGGAGCTAGGACAAGAGTACCGCATGTTCGAGGCAGCGGTTCGCGTCGTGCTCGAGAAAGCATCGCTCATTGCAACCCCGCCACTGGTGACCAAGGCGGTCGCACTCTACAACCAGTTTCAGGTCCGACAAGAGTCGTCATCGGAATATCTCACAGCTCGTAGATGCGCGCACCAGTTCTCCTCGTGGGCCCCGCGGGCGCCGGCAAGTCGACGCTACTAAAGGCATGCCTTCAAGCCCAGCAGCTCATGCGGTGGACCCTATGCCCGCAGTCGGATCCGTCGGCGCATCTCGCCAAGCGCATCAACCTCGTCTTCTTGGGCATGCATGAGCTGGAACTCATGGCGTTGCACTCGCACCTGCGTCGGCAAGGATCGACGAATGCAATTTTACACACGTTCTGCCAGCGTCCGCCGATCGCGTCGACCGAAACGATGAGTTGCGTCGTGTTTGATGGTCCGCTGCCACGGCTCTCAAGCGCGCTCGAGAGCTTGGTGTCCCTCCTCAGCGGTGACACGCGGCTCTACGTACCGCCGCCGCTCCCGCCGCAGCATCGCGTTGCGACCTTTGACTGCATGGTGCTGGAAACCTCCACGTTGACCGACGCGTCGCCGACGATTGTGACCTCGTGCAACATCCTGAGCCTCGACGACACTGTCATTCCGTGGACATCGCTTGTGGATGCGTGGCTGGTACGGCAAAGCAGTGCGCTTCCGCCTGCGGTGATTGCAATCGTCAAGCCCATGGTGCTCCACAGTCTCGGGGCGTGTATGCTGCCCCACTTGGAGCTCGCTCCATTGTCCGTGTCGATACCACAACTGGTTGGCAACGGGCTCAAGCTCTTGACGGCCACGTTTGGCTCGCTCGTGCACGACGGGGCGTCGACGTGGCCACTCTCATCAACCATGACGGGGCAGCTTGTGTTCTTACTCGTGCTCTGGGGCGTCGGCGCACACTTGACAAGCGAGCGGCGACGCGATCTTCAAGTCTTCGCCCTCGGCGCTGCCAAAGTGCCACCAGTGGTGGTTGACGCTGAGGGCTTGTTGCATAAGTTTCCGCAGCTGCCGCACTGGACGCAGCCGACATTGTTCGAGATTGTCTTTAATGCGCGGGACCACACGTTCGGGCTCACGAGTGCATGTCAGGAGACGACCGTCGCGCACATGAGCGCCGTGATGGTGCCGACGGCCCAAGTTCGGTTTGCCTACGGCGTCTTTCGCATTCTTCAAAAGACCGCGGCCAGCAGCAGCTCGATGCTGATCCTTGGCGGACGCGGTGCCGGGAAGAGCACGCTTCTAGCCGCGCTGCCGCGGCTCGTTCGGAGCCACAAGACCCAAGTGTGGAGCCGCGTGGGCACCGAGCGCCGCTATGTGTCGCTGCTGCAGAATCTCTTGCACCACCAGGAGCAAGCGCAGTGGGTCTTTCTCGATGACGTCGATCTGTACGGTCCGAGTTTGGAGCTTCTGCGGTGTGCGCTGAGCCACAAGCGGCTCTTTGATGCCGTCCGCAACCAATGGACGCGGCTCAACGTAGCCATCTGCGGGACTCTCTCGCTGGCCCACGATGCGTCGCTGTCCTTAGCCGAGCAGCGATGTATGCGCCCGTACTTTCTCTTGCGGCTGAGCGACCCGCACGCTACAGAGCTCGCGGCCATCCATAGTGCGATCGTGCAAGAGCGTATTGGGCGCCCGCTCTCGCCAAGCGAGCACTCGATCGTTTCGACAACGGTCACGACAGCGCTGTCGCTGTCAAGCCAACCAGGCATCCTCCTCCTCTCGCCGTACATCACCGCAGACGTGGTGCGCCGCACGCTGATCGGCGAGGTGCCACACGAAGCACCGACGTACGCTCGTTGGTTTGTCGAGCTGCAAACTGCGTTCTACAGCGCATTTGTATCGGAGAGGGATCGCACCGACTGGCGCCAGCACTTCATGGCGGATATCCCGCCGCATACGACGCTTCCTGACTTTGACTCGGATGCGAGTTTCGTGCCACTGCTACGTGCGTTGCCACTGCCCACCGCCGTGCTAAAGGCCGCCGCCGAGCCGGCTTTTTACGCTCTACGCGCGCACTTGCTGTCGCAGTTGAAGCCGACCGACGTCGATTTGGAGTGGACCGCGCGTCTGAGTCCACCGCTTGTATGGCACTACGTCCAGCTGTGCCACGCGCTCGAAGCGCGCCATCACGTTCTGTGCGTTGGCTCTCGTGAGCTCGTGGCAGCGTACGTGCCGTTGCTGTCCCATGTCGTTCGCACCTGCGGCCGGCCACAGCCGATCGTCCTATCGTACTTGACGTCCCATGGTATGTGACGACTGTACGCATGCAATCCTAGTCGTATGCCATGTAGAAGACGTCCTGGCGCACCTTGCGTCGTTGCTGTTGGCGACTGGAATCCACGAAGAGGATCGGGTCTTGTGTGCGACAGAGGCCGATTGGATGCAGTGGCCGAGCGTGGCCAGTTTTATACAAGGTATGGGGCACGCAGCGACTTCACTTTCATCGCTTCCGTCTCTAGATGTCCTCGACGGCAACCACTCACAACTCGCGCGGTCGGTGGTTCTTCAACACGTCGTCGCCACGTCGCTTTCAAGCTCATCGCATGTCGACATCCTCGACGCCTTCATGCAGCGCGTCCAGCGCCACCTCACGCTCTTACTCTGGGGCTCCTCGGCGTCTCTTGCACCGCTGCTCACGCGTGCACGCGCCAGCGTCCGCGTCATCGCCCTTCGGCCGCCGCATCGACACGAGACCGACTTGCTGCTGGCGGCGAAAGGAACGATGACGCACTTGCGCGACGCGCACCCGGACCTCGGCCTCTCGCTCAGTGACTGCGACCACTTGGCAACGATCAGCGTTCAAGTGCACGCGAGCGTCGTATCGCCGACCAAGAGCTTCGGGCATCTCCTCGAGACCTTTGTGCACGTCATGGCGTACAAAGCCTCCAAAATGGTCGACGTCCGCATTGAGTCGGTCACGCAGCTCTTGGCCTGGCTCGATACGCTCAAAGTGCAGTACGGCAACGCGACCGAGCAGCTCGAGCAGCTCGAGACGGCCATTGCAGCAGCCCAAGGTCGGCGCACTGCCGCGGAAGCGTCGTTGAGTCCGATGCAAGCGCAGCTAAGTGCCTCCATGGGCTTGAACGAGCGGCTGGCAGAGAAATTGCGGTCGCTCCAAGAAGCTTTTGGTGCGGACAAGCACGCAATCGAAGCCATCGAGCGGCAGTTGCGCGCCGAACGCAAGGTCCTCCACAGTCTGCAGCTTCCTGCACTCACACTGGCCGACCGGCACAAGCTCGCCGACGAGTGGCGCCTCGTACCTGCATGTCGGCATTTGCTGGCCGCCGTGTGCCACGCCTACGGCATCGATGACCACAGCGTCGAGGCAGTCTGTCGCCTTGTTGAGAATCCCAACGCACGGACCGAGCTGCTTGCCATGACGTTGTCTGACGAGACGCCGCCGCTCGGACTCACTGCCGCAGACGTCTCGACGCTGCACACGCTGCACCCGGCGCTCGCAGTCCTCGGTCGCGTCCTCCTATATCAGCGGGACGCAGCGATCGCTCACGCGCAGGTGACGCGCCTGTCGAGCGCCAATGGCCGTCGCACGGGCGAAATCGACCAAGTACGTACCGAGCTCAAGGAACTCCACGCGTCCATGGTGTCGCTGGAGGCAGCGATTCTCTGTGCTGGAGCTGGTGTCGCCTCGGATACGCAAGAGCTCAAGCAGTTGGCGTCGTGCATGCAAGCCACTGAAGCAGAAGTCGAGAACCTCGCGCCGCTTCAGGGCTACCTCGACCGTCTCCAAGCCCTCATCCGGAGCAAGTACTTTGCGCAGCGGTGCGGAACGCACTTGACGTCCGAGGGCGCGGCGCTCTTCATTTCCGCCATGATTGCCTACCTTGGTCCGCTTGACACGCCGGATCGAGCACGCTTGATCCAGTCGTGGTCACTCCTCTTCACCAGCAACAACTATGTCCTCCCGCTGGAGCTTGGTATCGTGCAGGACAGCGCCGTCGCGCTCTACTCGAGCCTCGAGGCCAGCATTTGCGTGCCTCACATGGACAAGCGGCTTCAGCACAGCCTTGCGATCGCCGACTGGTCACAGACGTGTCCGCTGCTTTTGGACCAGAACGGCGCGGCCGAGAGCTACATGACCGCGTTCTTCCAGCGCATGAAGAGCGCGACGCCGGCCGTGACGTACTCTGTCTACTCGATGAGCGACGTGAACTTGCTTCCGTGCCTTGAGGTTGCTCGGAAGGCGCGCAAGGTCGTCTTGCTGACGCAGTATTCAACGGCAATCTCCGACGCGCGCTTTCGGCAGCTCCTGCCGTTTCTGCGCGCCTCTCGGAGGCCGCTTTTGGATGCGGCGCGCGGGCTTCCGCTCTTGTCGCACAGCGGTTCGAACAAGCTCCTGCCACCGACGCCAAGCCGGCGCGCGCGGTCGCTGTCGATCCCGACCTCCGCTTTGTCGGCAGGTTCCAGGTGTATGTCATTTTGAGTCCGCTTGATGACGTATCGACCCTCTCGCCGCTGCAAAAGGCAAATTTCAACATTATTGATCTCCAAGTACCTCGGACGGAGTTGGAGCGTCGGAAACGACGGACGCTACACGCCCTCTTTGCCCCCAA